TTCACTCAGCGCATCTTCTCCTTCCAGCGCTGCTCCTACTGGCTCAACGCACAAGTGCACAGAGCACTTCCACGCATAGAATGCCAGTGGAGATCTGGCAAGGAATGAGGCTGGCTGCCTCTTTTATACTCCTTGCTGGGTCTGCATTGGCTCAAACCAGCCTTCCTTTTGTCCCAGACCCTGCATTGCATGTGTCCCAGTAGAGTCCCAATGAAGTTCAACTGCTGCTGAGGCCTCCCGGCCTGAATTTGGACTTGAAGGTCTGGATCTGGACTGACCCCTAGACTTAGACCAGAACTGGGACTGTGCCTATTGACTTTATTTTCGGACAGGCACAACTCTCAACGAACAGACACATTTACTTTGCACGAACAGGTACACTGCCTGCACGTACAGACACACTCTTACCCAAACAGACATAACATACACATCTCCTGGTGAACAGGTAAGTCTTTTGACAATGCCCTTTGCCTTAGCTTTAGATATGCYTGTTGAAAGAGAACTTAACCTTTGACCTGCTTTCACGTTTCTGAGCTCTGGCGAGATACCTTTTCACAATGCTTTACTTTTTCAAGGCCCGTGCTGCTTTATTTTTACAAGGCCTGAGGCCTATATCGGGTAAGGCCCTTTTAGAAACATTAAATGTGTACTGGAAAGTTGGAAACCGTTATAATTGCATCACTAGATAAAGGGCGCCGCCGCCACACCACTCACCAAATCTGAGAACATCAAGAACTATTGGGGGTGTACCTTTCCAAGTTTCCACATTCTAGCAGGACAGAATTATACATTTCACCCATATGGTGAGTTGACCTTCTGCGTCAAGGCAGCCGTTCTTCGACTTTTGTGGGCTGCTTTCATGCATGAGCTATCACTAGGCATACCACACTGTCGCTGTGCCACATTTAGCTCACACCCTTGGCCTGGGCCAGCTTCAGATGGGGTGGCAGAGTTGGGGTCTGGGAGAGAGCCGCCCAGCAATCGAGATCTGCAACCTGGGTGCACTCAATAATGCCTTGCGTCATAGCAGTGGCTGCATCTTGAAATCCGTAGTCCCAGGCTCTGCAGTATCTTTTGTGTTCAAACTCGCCAGTGGCTGGCACGGGCTGCAGCTTGAAATCCGTATTGCCAAGGCTCTGCAGCGTCTTTTGGTTTCGAACTCCCAACGAAGTGGAGTAGAGATAGATGATTCCTTGCATCACCTGTCGTCTACTATTCAACCATCATCACAATCGGGTTTGAAATTCATTGAAACTCACCTGGTAATCCAATATGCTTCCACATCATTTGTTTAGCAAAGGTTACCTTATGGTCATAAATATTTGCAGAGTAAGCATCATCACTATTGGGAGCCTGTCAGCCTGCTGTCAGGTGCGTCACCGTGTGTGGCAGGGCCTGTCTTTTTTTTTCTTGAAGCTTTTTATGCGACCACTCAGGGAGTCAGGGGGGTATTTGTGTTTTGCTTTTTTTGTGTGTTTCTTCTGTTTCCCGTGGTTATTGCAGTTGGCTACCACAGTGGAGGCTTGACCTTAGAGGGGCGTTCGACTGTGGAGCAGCTATTCCTGAACTCTGACCTGCAAGTTTTATGTACAACAACAACTCTGGCACATGGCGTCAACCTTCCAGCTCATCTGGTTGTCATCAAGTCTACACAATACTAGTAAGTTTGTGGAGTGGGGCGGGGCACGTTAGCGGCCAATGGTGCTCGCTATAGTGGCGGGTAAGCACCGTGTTATAAAAAAAATGAAAACATGCTTTGAAGGATGTTTCACAATCATTAGAGGAGTGGCCGCGTAGGAGTTTGAGGAGCTCATGGCTGTATATCTGTGTAGTATGTACCCAGCAACTGAGTTTACTTCCTGGATTCGATGCTTCTTATTTTAACTCTTGTCGAGCGTGCGTGATGGAATGAATGTATGCCATTGGGTGATTCTTTCGCTTCTGTTCTCATGCTCCTTGCTGTATTGTTTTACAGTACTTCATTCATTCATTCATTCATTCATTGGAAGTATCAGGACTTCATTGAGACAGTGCAAGAACCATTTGTTATTTTCTCAACCAAGAAAAATGTGACACTGTTCCTTAACCGTGCAGGCCGCCTTTACTATTACAAGAACAATATTCCAAGGTCAAAGTACCATTCACTTTCAGCCATTATGATTATGTTTTCCCAGTTTTTTGTTTTTTTAAATGATGATGATCCTGATGATGATGATGATCCTGATGATGATGATGATACTACTGATGATGATGCTGATGGTGATAAAAAATTGTATTAACTGTAGTAAGCTATGCTATATCAACAATTTCCCACTTGATACAGATCAATCACACATGATTTGAGCTTTGCACCAAAGTGGGACTGAACATGTGCACCTCAATATGGATTAAACCAATCCGAACTGGGCTACAAGCCGGGTCGCCCGGGTCATCTTAGTTGACTGGGCAGCCCAGCCGGTCAAGGGCCAAGGAAGGTCCCTGCAAATTTGGGGGGGGGGGGGGGGGGTATAAAATAAAAAAAGAAAGAGCATCCAAAACAATGTCATGATCTGAAAACAAACTATGTTATGCAGAAAAATAAACTGAACAACTTTTGCCTCAGGGTCAAATCGGAATTCCTTGCCAAAAAAAATAAAAATAAAAATAATTGATTTTTTGTTTTTTTGGCCCGGCCGGGCAAGTGGACCTGGGCCACTCTGGTACCCCAGAGAGAAATCTATAGAGTAGCGAGCGCCCTGCTCAGCCTACTCCCGTCCCAAGCAGCGTGCAACAAATGGCTCGAGAAATAGTCAAAGGAAGGAGCAAGTTCTCACTGGCTATGGTTGCGCTCAAACTTCCCTTCTCCAGGCTTCGGGGCTAAATGTAGTGGCGCACAACCGGTTTCACCAAACAGTGAAGCTTGACGAATGAAAATCTGCATGAACATTGGCAACATATTTTCTAAATCACACACAGTCGGACGTAACTTTCAGGGTCGGATTAGGACGCTTGGGACCGGACAGTGGACCCGAACATCCGGACCCGGACCGTCCACACTATGATCCGGATGTTCATGTTGTACCCATGGTCGATCCATTTTGACTTTTTAATAAGTTTTAATTTTTTTATTTGAGCTTTATAAAACAGGAAAAATGCTTCGTTTCTGCCATGCAGAAGTGCATGCATTTGGGATGTAGCAAATACAGAATTGCATACTAAATATTATATCTTCATAGTTTTTATAACAAATTCAATAATGAGATATTAAATTCGTAATGTTGGTGATGAAAGTGAAGTTTTCTCTGATTCAGAACTCCTGTATTATCTTATAGCTCTATGTTGTTGTATGCCTTGTGTGGTCGCACAATAAATTGCGACTGTTACAGTTCTTTTTTCCCCGTTGGCCATTACTCCAATTTTTTGGGAGTAGACTTTGTCCTCTTATACATGGTGATTACGCCATTTTTTGGGTCCGGGGGCTCTTATAACCATTTGGTGACTGGTCGGGTGGCCTATTGGGCCTTTTCTTGTCCATTGCAGTGATCGAGCAAGAGGTGGATATGTGGAGTATGATCGGTCTACATGTTTGCAGGTGAGGGAAGCAACTCTCGACCTCCATATTTGAGAATTCTCTATATTTTTCATTGTTGATATTGCCTTCTCCTTCTTCTTTTGTTTCTTTAACTTATCATTTTCCTCCTCTGGACTTCCTCCCTCCCCTTTCGCCCCTCTCCCTCCCCCCGATTTGCCTGCAGTGGTCTCTCTTCCTTCCCGACAAGAAGAAAGTTCAAGAAACATAAAGCCCTTCGGCTAGGGCTTCATTTTGGTGTGAAAATTCAATCTGGTTGATCTTCCACAGTTCCACTGTTATAAGTAGAAAACGATGAGGCCAGGAAACAGTTGCGGAAAACCCAAAAAGCTAGAGCCTAGAACCCACTCCTCGTGGCTCAAGGATACCGCTCTTGATTCTGCCTCGTTCCCATATGGACCTCTCCTCTTGGGTCCAGCTTTCTGCTGCAGTTTGTCTCTCTACTGAGTCTCCCCTTTTGTCTTTTTTCTGTTCGCCTCCTTTTTCCTCTTTAATGCGGGTAGTCCGTAACATTACTCTATATGCAATTTGCATTTGATTCCATCAGAAATTGAGCTCCAGATCTGTCGATCAAGAGTTGCATGTGTACCATTCAGCCACATGGCTAGGTTTATCCATCTTTATGTTAGCTGTTGTCTCCCATTTGGCAGCAACAATGCCGCCCACTCTTCCCTTGGGCGTTTGTGAAAAGTTCTGAGACTCTGTATCCTGAAAGGGCCAGATTATATCTTTTGGCAGGTCTTTCTCCCCTGCCATGCGCGCGGAGTTGATGTCGTCGCCACCGGAGGCAGAGGGAGATGAGGACCGCACACCCCTTGGAGAGACATCTGCAGAGAGGCTGGATAGGCTTGATTGTCGTCGAGCTTGCCTCATGGCACGAGGGGACCCCAGGACGCAGGAGTTGGCCCGCGTTGCGTTTGAGAGCGACAGAGACAGCTGGGGACATTCACGCCCGCGTCCGTTGACGGAGAGAAAGTTGTCCATATGTATCCTCCTAAAGGAGATCGCGATAGGACGCGAGGGGAGGCAGCTTTAGCCAATGCGTCGAGGATGGGAGGTGATGTTGAGCAGGGGTCGCACGAGACTGGGTTCGCACCCCCAGAGGACCCACGTGTGGTGCCTGACCAGCCTCCTCATGACGAGCAGAGGCCCGACGACACTTTGCATGAGGGCGCGGGCGTGCCTCTAGCCACGGGTTTGGTTGCGGGTGTCATGCACATGTCCCCGGGTCTGGAGGAGATACAGACGGGGCAGTCAGTGGGCGTTGATGATGTTCAACCATCTGCACAGGCAGAGAGGATAGCACCGACTACGAGGTGGAGGAGGACGTCGCGGGGGACGTTGATGTTATGGGGGCGGAGGCGCCAGTTCAGGCTGATCTGATGCACACGTTTGGGGGGCCAGATGGTGCACAGGTCGATAGCGAGGTTATACCCAGAGAGGACGTGGGAGACGGGCATGACGGAGACAGACAGGAGATGCCGCAAACTTTGGTGGTTCGCACGACTGTGGGGCCGGTGGTGCCACATCAGGCACCGTTTCTGGTGGATCCTGGGCGTCGTGCACATGGCGGTAGCCCGATCGTGGAGCGACGAGTCGGCAGGGGCACGTGCGCACCTCCGGTCCCTACTTTTGCGCCATCACGGGAGAGGCCGCAGATTAGGTATGTGGCCGTGCCTCGCGGCAGTCTCCCATTTGGATGTATGACTGCTGAGGAGTTAGAGGCGCACGCCGGGGTGGATTTGACCGAGACCGACAGGCGGTGCTTCAGGAGGCCTCCGTCGGCGGGGCGTCTGCCTCACGTGCAGGACTTGTCTTGGGGGCCAGCTAGCCCTAGCTTACCTTCAGGAGGTTCTGTCGCGGCGCCCTCTCACGACGCAGCAGGGCCATCCTCCTCACCAGCGACCGTAGTTGCGGAAGAAAGCGGCAGTCTCACCCCGAGGTCGGATGCCCGTAGATGGAGAGACACTACCGACCATGCGCGGGTGTCAGAGGACAACATGTTGTTCGGTCACACTGATCGACCATGGAGTGAGACGAGACGGATGACGACGGCGAGTGCCGCTTGGCAGCCAGGTTTGAGAGAGGTTTCCACGACCGGGAGTCGTCGTGATGTTGTGGTGTCGGGGTTCGGCAGTAGGGTCGGTGATAGTGGTGGCATGCCTGTCAGACGTGAGGGCGCAAGCGGTGCCGCGGCGGGCGGAGCAGATCTGCCGTTGACGTACGGTTTGGGAGAGGCATCTATTATTTTACAGGAGCCAGAGGTTGTTACACGAGTCAGGCAGGCCCGACACGTGCCCTTAGATCGACGCCAGGAGGGGGAGACTTCAGGGGCAGACGGTCTTCCTATGCGTCGTGATTCCCGCCGACATGTTGATCTGGCAGCCGCAGGTATAACCGGAACAATCGGAGGCAGGAGAGTTATTATGGACGACGACCCCGACGAGGCTCCCAAGCCTTCCACTGCCGGACGCGGCGGGCAGCGGCAGAGAGGTCGAGCACGTGGCACTGGCCGCTCACACGGACAAGGTTCTCATTGGTCTAGGCAGGATTCGCATGCAGACGACGATCATTGATGGTCTACGGACTTGCGATTTCGCGGCCCGGTCTCAGTGTAGTTTACTTTTTTGTCGTCCATGACAGACGTATTGTTTCGTGATGTTGTGTTATACTCTTACTTTTTATTCGGTACTTTTTGCGCAATTCAGACATGGTTTCGTTCGACACTTCGGAGATTATTTCTTTTTAGTCTATTTTTTTGTCTACTTTTCAGCCGGTACTTTTTAGACTTCATTTTAGTCGGTGTTTTTTTGGATGTTGTGGCGGGTCGTCGCCCCTACATGTCAGATGTATTTTGCTATTATCCATACTACGTTGGTTTGCGTTTTGCTTCGATTATATCTTGTCGTTTGCAATGTTTATGTTTCCAGACGATGGGTGTTGCATGTGCGTATATAGAACAGTGTGTGAACTTGCATCTGTCCACATGAATGGAATGACAAGTACATATATGTGTGCATCGACAATCTCATGTTCTCTCACAAATCCCACTTCGCATTGTATGAGCACCACTAAAACCAGGCTTCTGGGGCGCGGGCGGCCTTGGTTGGTTTGGGCTTGGTTTGATTTCAACCCGCACCAAACTTAAATTCCTAAAACGCGTTAACACCCCACAAAACCCAAACCCTCCCGTTGCGCCCTACCCCAAAATCTGGATCAGGTTTGTTTATTCTTTTTTTTGTTTTTTTTTTGTTTTTTTGTTTTTTTTTTCTAGTAACGGTGTTCGGCCAGTGAGGCATGGAGGCGACGTGGTGCGAGCGGGTGGGGGGGGTGTTCAATGGAGGGTGTGTTGTAGGCTGGTGTGGTCATGTTGTAGGCAGGCCGACGGGGTGTGGGCGCTGGGGTGCCGGGGTGTTGGGGCGTTGGGGCGCCGGGGTATGGGCTCTGGGCCGCCTGGGCGCTGGTGTGTGGGTGCTGGGGCGCTAAGGCGCTGGTGCGCCAGGGTGTGGGGCGGTGGGGCGGTTGGGCGCTGGTGCGCCAGGGTGTGGGGTGGTGGGCCGCTGGGGCGCTGGTGCGCCGGGTTGCGGGGCGCTAGGCTTGGGCACTGGGGCGCTGGGGCGCCAGGGTGTGTGGCGCTGGGGTGCTGGGGCGCTGGGGTGTGTTGGGCGCTGGGGCGCTGGGGCGCCGGGGCGCCTGGGTGTGGGGCGCTGGGGCGCCGGGGGAGCTGAGGCGCTGGGGCGCTGGGGCGCCGGGGTGTGGCCGGTGGTGGCCTTTTTTTTTTTTTGTCATCTCCGAAAATGCACACCACCACCCCGTGGCCCCTGGGGCGCGCACGAACGAACCGGGGTGTGGGGCTGGGGCGCCGGGGCGCTGGGGCGCTGTGGTGTGGGCGCTGGGCTGCCTCGGCGCCGGTGTGTGGGCGCTGGGGCGCTGGGGCGGCGGGGCGCCTGGGTGTGGGGCGCTGGGGCGCTGGGGCGCCGGGGTGTGGCCGGTGGTGGCCTGTTTGTTTTTTTTTTTCGTATCTGAGGCGCTGGGGCGCTGGGGTGGTGTTGTTTTTTTTTTTCCGTATCTGAGGCGCTGGGGCGCTGAGAACGCACCCCACCACCCCGTGGCCCCTGGCGCGCGCGCGAGCGAACTGGGGTCGCGTTCACAAAAAATGCGCCACGCCGCGCGTAGAACATTTGAACGCCAATGAACGCGGCCCCGGGCCGTTTGAACGCGAACGTGCGTTTGGCACATTCAAACGGTTGCACAGTGAAAGGCTGAAACATTTACAAGTGCAGAGAGAGAGAGAGAGAGAGAGAGAGAGAGAGAGAGAGAGAGAGAGAGAGAGAGAGAGAATTGGATTTCCTTAACTGGATTTTATTCAACGGATGTGATCTTAGAGCTTCAAGTTGCTTATACTAAATATACCATTAGAGGCAATTTGTCTTTATGGCTTCGGAGTCTCTGTTTGTTTGTTTGTTTGTTTGTTTGTTTGTTTGTTTGTTTTTTCCACAGAGAGAGAGAGAGAGAGAGAGAGAGAGAGAGAGAGAGAGAGAGAGAGAGAGAGAGAGAGAGAGAGAGAGAGAGAGAGAGAGAGAAGTGCAGTTGTTGGGAGCTGTTAATTGGCTAATATTGCCAGTTTCTTTTCCGTGTTATCTATATGAGGAAGAGACGGTAAGTCGTTGTCGAGAATGCTCTTTTCTTACCTGTCCCTTCGTGTATTTGTGTTTGCTTTGAAAAATCTCCTGCTGAACATTGTAGGGCGTCCTACTGTTGCATGGTGCGATGTTCTGAATGGCCATCTTTCGATCCTTCCTTTTATTTTCATTTTTATTATTATTATTATTTTTAATCCTTGAATTATCCTTCCTTATTTTGTATGTGAGATGAAGGGGTAGATGATCGGTGGTGTTACCGCAAGCAGGTAACAAGGACGGCGGACGCCATCCAATCTTTAGGATTCAATCTAAGAATTATCATTAAGCTTCAAAACATAATGATGTAAGGACCTGCCAAACACGGACTGAGACACACAGCTGATTTCTGAGTTTTGTCAATGGAATGTATGCGTTGCTGAGTTTCCCGCTTGTTGCTGATTTTTCTAAGTCTGTGTGGGTGTGTGCTTCCTGATCTGCGTGCCCGTCTGAGTGCTTCTCGGTTCGAGTGTGTGTGACCCGCAAGGGCACTTGTTCGTTCGGAAGGCCCGAAGGGCCGGTACTTACCTGTGGCCGTAACATTGAGGGTTGCAGCGGGGAAAACACTCAAGTGGAAGGGCAAGAGGCCTGCGACACTTAGAGCAGCGGAAAAACTCTCAAGTGGCTGGTAGGCCGGTACACACCAAGTAGCGGTAGATGTGTAGGGTACTTGAGGCCGAACAGAAAAAGACAAAAGTTGGCATTTTTAGAGGCCCAGTGGTTGTAGGCTAGTTCTAGGCGGATACCAGTCCAATCAGTCTGAGTCTAGGGCCTGTACGGGCAGTATCAGAGTCTGCAATTATGGTTTCCCTCCGAAATGGTGGCGGTACCGGTTGCTTGGAGGCCGCGCGGCCTGGAAGTCGCCAACCAAGAGGCAAGCAGGCCGCTATTATATCTCTTGGAGGAGCAAAGAACTCCTCCTCATTCTTCGGTGTGCAAGTATTGCGACACACTGCTTGGAGCGCTGCTGGGGAGGAAGGAGCGCCCAGCTTCCCACCGGGCCACCGTGGCTATGGTGGAGGAGCACGGACTGGAGGAGGAGGAGGACGAGGACTAGAAAGGGGGAGCGCCATAGGTACTTCCCTGGATATGGTGGACACCATCTTCATCACCATGGTGGGCGCTGCATCTGGAAGGCCCCAGTTGGGGTAGAGCTACACCAAGAAGCTTTGAGGCAGAGTCAGGCATGGCGGCCTGAGGTAGAGCAGCCATAGCTGTTTTGAGTTGTCTTTTGCACATCAGGGCAAGGCCCTAGCAGTCCACCATAGCCTCGGCCTTCATGAAGAGCAAGGAGAAGGATGGCCATGACTATGGTGGACCTCATGTTGTACCTTCAGTAGAAGAGGGATTCGGACATTTCTGGTTCAGCCATTAAACATCATTATTATTATTTATTGTTTGAATAAGAGAGGAGGAGTGTGGTTGGCGAGGAGGAGGGAACTATGATTGGTCTTTGCTGGTGTACATCTTCTTCTTCTTTCTTTCTTCGTCTTCCTCTTCTTCTCTCTCTCTCTCCTCTCAACTTCATTCATTTCTTTTTGCATTTGGAAGGCATTGTGTGTTCTCATGAATGCGTACTTCGAAATTGGCCAGGATCATAACAATGAAAACAAGTTCGACATTTCCCTGCGTCATTCAGCTCCCAAGCAATTATTGAAATGCAAGGAAGATGAGCATTAGCGAACTTCAGCAATCAAACAGCATCATACATATGAGCCCAGATAGTCTTGACCTCGAACCACAGCAGACTTGCATCACGAGATACACCAAATAAGAACACACCAAGAGTTCAAAATTGACAATGCTGAAGTAGTCCCATCATCATCAACTACGAACCAGAGTTGATATCCTATTGGCGCTCGGCGCCCAGACTACAGGTAGCAGATCCTATCTAGCCTATACTACGAAGCAGAATGATGACATCAACAGCGTTCCCGAAGTACGAGCATATGGCGACCAATGCCGCACGCTTCAGCACCAAGTATGTCTCTCGTAACACTCACAACCCCGATCCACACCGCACAGATGCCACTAGCACCCCAAGGACCACCCTGCGCTTCACCTAGCATACAGCAGCGCAGCTTGGCTATGGCTGCGTGCTCCCTCCTACTCGCCCGTGAGAGCGTGAGTGCCAGCCAGCCAGCGGATTGCACAGCAGCGCTCACGCAGCATGCAGCCAGCACCCGAATGCCGAATGAGGAGGCAGGCCCTTCCCTATATCGAAGTGGCCTGCCTGCGTCCAGTCCAGGAAGCTTCCGGTAGGCCCCGGTAGGCCCAGGCCCAGTCACGAAGAGAGCAGGCCTTGRGCCTGRAGTGGTTGCATGCGCCCAACTGCTTTCGGCCTGTGTTTGGCCCGGTACCCGTATCCAGCCCAGRGCCTGCTTCACATTCATTTACACAGGCGGCCCAGGGCCTGGATTCATTCAACCAACTGGCGCAACGCAACTGTCTGAATTTCCCCGATGCGGGGTACCCTGAAGAATGAGGCCCGAAGGGTCTGTCGTGCCTGCCTTCACTTAGGGCGGCCGACCTTGTGGCAGATAGGGCCCCGTAGGGGCTAAGCGGGCGTAGCCTCGCAGAAATAATTATAAACATTATATAAAAAATGATCGAGAATGACACGGAATGAAAACTATGACAACTGAACAAACTTTGTAGACAAACGCGATTAAAATGAAGCTATTCAAACACTTCTTCTCCAGAAATCTGGCAGAGATGTAGGAAAAGCTCCACTTTTTGGTTTCGGTCTCAACGTTCTGCCTCTGTGTAAATTTGGAATTGAAACAGGACTTCTAAGTTCTTACACCAATTTGAATCTATTAGTTGAGCGGAGTTTCTTCTATGTGCGCTGACAGACACTTTGTTGTGCTTCACAGATGGCAGGGAGGGCAGGGAGACCCCAGTTTGACAGCTCTGGCACTGTGGTCATTATGACGAAGA